AAGAGAAGGAAAGGTGATTAGTAAAGAACTCGGCTGAACAAAATCACACGCCTCAAGTAGAAAAAGCCAAAAACCTACCTGACGTTACGCGAGTTTCTACTGCCATTAGCGACAGACTCGCCGAGAGAGACGTCAACACTATAGAGAACAAAAAGAGCTTCTGTCATTGTCAAGATCTAGGCCATGACAGAGTTTTGAGAATCTTGTAGCATCTTTTCGTTGTTTAAAGTCAGCTCTGATCGAAGATGATGAGCCAACATTGATTTCAGAGATTCATGCAGGAGCGCGTTTGAATGGTGATATCCAATTTATAAATCATAGTCTACATCTTCAATTTACCGAACATCAAACAGACACAAACTCCGAAAACAACCCTACAAGTGAATGGAATGTTGAATGCAAAAATACTAATACTATTGTTAATGTCCAGAAATTCAAACATTGTATTATCAACGCTACAAACTCACTGTATGGAGATGCTTTCCTTTCATTAGATCAGCCGGATGCCAAGAGTGTGAATGAAATTCATCAATACAAACACACAGAAAAGACAATCAGTCAAGATTTATATCAAGAAGAACGTAAAAAATCTTCATCGGAAAATGATTTTTTTATTTTATTTACGACTTCAGATAGTGTCAATGTAAAACTTCCAGAACGGTCTGGAATTGTAGATAGTAAAGTTTTTAGTACCTATTTTGGGCCATTTGCCGGTAGAGCATACAAGTCTGTGGAGTCCTCCATTGCTGAGTCTGTTCCTAGCAAGGTGAACATCAATACCGCTTCTCTCAAGCAACTCCGCAGTGTGTACCAAATTGGCGAAAAACGAGCAAAATCAATCATTTCAAAAAGACCATTTGAAAGTATTATAGAAGCGAATCTAAAGACAAATATATCAAAGAAAATATTGAATAATTTTTCTTTCCAAAATGGCCGTGCATTTCACACGATTTCTCGCATTTTTCCTCGATTCATGTGATTTCAATACCCAACAGTCAAGAATGGATGTGCAAAGTCAAGCTGTTTTCCGTTTTAGGTTACAAATAAAGAATTAGGATAGAATAGAAAATTAAGATAGAATAATCGTTAGCATAGAAACATAATATCTATCGCAAATAATATATAATTTCCACATAACACACGTCATCCTATAGTGACACACGACGAACAAAAGGGAGGGAACTACTGCTATGTTCACAGCTGCAGCCAAAAGATCTGTAGTTTCAAATAAAGTTTCACTCACATTTCGGGTTCTTTGTTTTTAACCTATATATGCTACATGCGGGTAGTGTGTGTGTAAAATGTGCTATAGTGTTTACTTTATTACATGAACATCAATGTGTACTAATAGATCAAAAATTTTTCTTGGTAAAAGTGATCGGCGTGAAGAATTCTTCACGCGCATACATGATTTTTAATTGAATATATCCGAATTTTATATAAATAAAATGGAGAACAATCAATCGATATCATTAGAAGAACAGATTTCTAAGCTTGTAGCGGAGAATGATACACTTAGACGGGAAACACCGAACTTAAATTTGAGAACATAAAATTAAAACAAGCTTAGAACATGAATCCAGATTTATGAAACTGGAGCAGAATGATAAAGATACCGCTTTTGAAAATGCCAAACCTAAAGCTAGAATCACAAGATTGGAACAAAAACAATTGCAAAATAATACTATACAGTAGACGGTAATGATTCTTCTGGTGTACTCAAACTTAAATTATTAGAAGCCAGTCGATCATTGGTTGATATTATCTCTAGTGAAACGAATTCTGATAATCACCTTGAACAGATAGAAAATAGATCCGATCACACATCTGATGATTCAAAGCATCAAACCTCTAGTTCTTTTGATGCATGCCGAGAAAAGGATAGCCAATGTTCTGCATCTTCTACCCCCCGAAACAAATTTTAATGATACTTCTGAGCAAATAAATTCACGATGTGACGAGTCAAAGACTCGTACCAAAACCACTGACACTCCGATATCTGATACAACTGACACAGTGAGTAAGGATGCCGGCACGAAAGTGCCCTTACTCTGTAAGTAAGATTGCATCTGAAAATCAAGAAGAGACAGAGTCTCAAATCTCCCATTCATCTTTGACAGCATCACCCATATGCGTAAAGTCTAAATCCTCAGAAGACTCTACAATTGAAATTTTCCAAAACAGTATAACCCGTAGCCAAGAAAAAACCATATTGGAAGCAAAGAAAAATCCCTATAATCAGAAAGTAGAACAAAAAATATTATATGAATTATCTGAATCTATAAGAGGCACTGATTTCATATCCTTACAAAATCTAAAGAAAACTCCATTGAATTCTATCTTCATTAAACAAATTTCGGATATCCCTGTTGACATAGATTTAACTCCTCATTTAGCACACTTATTTGTCAAGGCTGAAAAAATTGGACAAAAGAAAATTGCGATGGTATTATTATAGTGAGGAATATGAGAAAAAAGTTTCGAATCTCATTTTAGAAAAAAATATTAGTGATCAAATGGCAAGAACGCAGATATATGATGAAATGATGCAATATCTACCTGGAATCAAGAGAGGGTATTTGCGTAAGATAACTCAAAAGGCTAGAACTATCTATACATTATTCAAAGGGATAGGAAAAGATAAATTTGGGTGCATTACATATAGTGTTGATGCTATTTCTAGTTTAGCCGGTACACAAATTCAAAATATTATAAATCTTTATACGAAAGAATTTGATGCGAAAGTATTATCGGTTGAATCTCAAAAATTGATCGGCGCGAATAATTCTTCACCCACATGTGACCAATAAAAAACTAAAGCATGCGAAGAAACTTTACCGGAAACGGAGGTAAGTACTATAACTACTTCCTCTATCCCATTGTTTCGTACCTCTATTTTGGAAGAGGCGGTAAAAGATGATGTTAAATCTTTACCAGAGGTACGCATACACTAGTCGAAATCCGATTATTCGGCAGTATGCCACTCGTCAAACATTCGTCAATTATTCGGCATACGATAAATAATTCGGCAAACATTCGTCAACAATTCGGCGATCATTGCCGAATTGAATATGCCAAATTATTGCCGAATGTTTGACGAATTATTTATCGTATGCCGAATAATTGACGAATGTTTGACGAGTGGTATACTGCCGAATAATCAGATTTCAACTAGTGTAAATAGCTTTGTTAATATTTTATTTGAATCTAATATTACATTTATATATAATTTATACATGTGATAAAATTGAATTTGAATATTTTTCAAAAACTATATTATTATTAAAATATAGTAAATTAATTGAAAATTATATTATCATATACAATTATAATAAAAATCTATATAACATATGTATAATATAAATAGTCTTCTTATAAATTATCAATTAGCTATTAAACTTTAAAATGTACATGGATTTGTAAGATAAAAGCAAGTTTATATAGCTAAGATATATTCTGGAATAAATTCTTTAAATTGTAAAATATTTTTTTTATAATGTTTAAAATTTTTTAATTAAAAAATTACTTTTCATTTATTTTTTTAAAAATTTAGTTTTAGTTATATTGTTATACTTGATTTTCATCCAAGATCTTCATTATCTCTTGTCTGATTTTCACTAGCATTTATCCTTAAAATATTAGCTATTCTAGAATAGTCTTGTATTACAAATCTATTATTGCATCTTTGGTATCTATTGTATCTATTGCCCCTTTATCATTTCTAGAATATTTTTATTTTATTTCATCTTTACTTTTTATATTATCTTTACCAAAGTATTTATTTATATGAATGCTAATACAGTTGAATATTCTGATAAAAATAGTATCTATATTTTAGTTTATATTTTTACTATAACATATACTTATCATATATGAAAATATTATAACTCAAATATATATATAAAGTCTTCAATTTTGCCTAGAAATTAACAGGCTTGAATTTATATTTTATTAAATAAATATTTTGACCTTTACAAAACAAATTATCATTGTTTCTTTCACCTAATATTATATATCTCTAAATTGTATTAATTTATATACCTCTAGAAACTTTAGCATATCACATTGGCCCTGTCTATCTAAAGTGTCCCCTTACTACTAGTTCTCTGTTTTTATTTTTATTTTGAGATAGAAACAATATATGACAATATATTATTTAATAATAATATTTTATTTTTATTTATTTAATAAAATTTATAGTTTAATTATAAGCAAGATTTTTAATTTAAAAAAAAAATTTTTTTAAGTTAAAGTTCATATAATTTATAATAAGTTTTGTAGACTTATTTGTAAAGAATAATTTTAATAATTTAATTATAAAATTTTAACTTGTATTAATAGAAAAAAAATTTTTTTACTTTAAATATATATACTATATATATATATATTTTAAAACTAGCTTAACCTTGTTTAGCAAACTTTATTAAGATCAATATTTACATATATTTGTATACATTTCTGTATATAAACTATGCTATAACATTAATTGATGAGTATATACTAAACTATATCAAGATTTCCTAGATATCAGTTGTTGCTATCAACTTTTCCTATTGGATAGAGGTTGAAACTAATACACCAAGGCATCACTATTGTTAATATCACTAGTATATAAATAAAAAAATTGTTTCTTGTTATTTTGTCCATGTTTTTAACACATCTTTCCAGCAATTTTCTCATTAGGTTCTTTTTTCTATTTGCTGTTATTCCCTTTTTCTCTGTCTCTTTCCATGTCTATTTAATATGTTCTGTGTCTTTGCTTTTTTTTATCCACTCTGCTAATGTTGTTTATCTTTTTCTATTCCATGATTTCTTCACATTTTTTTTCTATAGTTCATTAATTACTTTTGTTATTCTCTCTACAATTCTTCTGCATATTTCTTTTGTTTTTTCCTTTACAAACTAGTATATGTATCTTTGGTTAGAATCCCCTTCACTATATAGTTTCTTGTGCTCTTCAAGTTAATAATTAATAGTATTTTTAGTTTTGAGTCTTCTTTCCCTTTCCCTTTGTTTCGGTTTCTTTGATACTTTTTAATTTCTTCATTTATTATCTTTTTATATTTATCTATGATTTTGTATTGCCAATATTTGTGTATCAGGTGCTCTAGGCTTTCTCTTTCCTTGTATCCTAGGTATTTATTCAATTCATAAATATCTGGTCTTCTTTCTGCTAGCCTATTTAGTATAAGAAGTTTGCTGTTTAGTAATCTGTACCTGATTCTTCTATATATGTGGTCTTCTTGGCTTGTATACATTTTAGTTATTCTAAATTGGTGTTGTGCTTTCTAGGTAAAGTGCCAGTCTATTTGTAGCTCATTTCTATACTCAATTCATACTCTGTTTCTTCTCTGTGTTATCCAACTTGTCATCCATTTGATATTTTACATATTTTTCAGAAATTCTTTGATATTTGTATCTATCTGATATTTTCTCCATTTTAGTGTTCCCCATGCTGCTGCTTTTGGATTGGCTATTGCAATTGCTTCATCTCTTTTGTTTGCTTCTTCTTTTGTCAATTTATCTGCCTTTTTGTTATTCTCTTTTCCCTAATATACTTTGACTTTAATAAATATTGTTTGCTCCTGTTTTTCTTTAATAATTCTTTTAATCAGAGTTTTTGTTATCCAGTTTACGCTTTTGTAGATTTGGCAGTTTCCTTTGTCTTCTTTTTGAATTCCTTGAATGGCTGCCTGGCTGTCTGTATATATCTCAACTCCTGCTTGTATTGGGATTGTAACCAATATAATTAGAATTGCTATTAATTCTGCTCTTGTTAATAATAAAAAGTGTTCTGTATAATCTAAGTATACTATTTCTCTCCTGTTTCTTGATTGGTTATGTGCCATTTCATTTTCATTTTGATTTGGTTGGTTGCTTTCTGGACCATTGAGCCAGCTGTATATACTTTTATTCTTCTTCAACTTTTAGTTTGTTCAGCTATTTTGGCTAGTTCTTCTTTGTTTGAGCTGCTGGTTTGTAGATATTTTATAATTTTGTCTTCTATTTCTGTTTGTTTTTTACTAATTATGATACTGATTTTGGTTTGTATTTTATTTTCCAAATTTTGTATATTGTTCATTATTGTGCTTGGTAATGTTTATATTTTGTTCAAATATTCTAGAATCTGACTATGAAGCTTTGCACTGTGTACGGTTTTGATTACTGGAATAATTATTGTCTGATTTATTTTAATTTCTCTGGTATACCTCTCTTTTGTGTTGTCTCTGTGGTTACAACCTTGACATTTGTCTATAAGCAAGTCTCTTTCTATTTGTTGCATATGTTGTATTCTCACTTTGTTGTCTATTATTTTATATTTGCAATCTATTCTTTCAATATGTATTTGTTGATTAATTAGTTATGCCAAATATATTTGCTTTTGGATGTTATAGCTTTTTTGTTACCTTTAGTTGAGAGATTGAATTGGATCTTGTTAAGTTTACCAGTATTATTGTGTACCTGTTTTCTAATATATCTGATTGGCTATATTTTTTTAATTTCAGTAAACCATCTTGATTATTTGCCAATAAGTTTATGTCCTGTAGCAGTTTTGATTTGTCTCCAGTTAAGCATATGTGTTTTACTTTAAATATATACTAAATTTTTTATAATTTTTTATATTAAAATTTTAAACACAAAGTTTAAAATTATTTATTTTGAAAATTTTCAAAAAAATTTAAATTTTTTAATTAATAAAGTTAATAAAAAATATCTTAAATATATTTTTTATAATATAAGTTATAAAAATTAATATTTAAAATTCTATTAAAAATTTTTTAAAAACTTATTAAAATTTTAAATATGTAGACAAATTTGTTTACATTACAATTTATGGGATAAGCTATTTGTTTCATATATGGTTCTGAAAATTGAAATCAAATAGAATTTTAGAAAATTGCATAAGGTTCAGAACACTATTAAGAATGATGATTGAGTATACTCTATCTATTAAATTTAATATAAATTTGAGAATCAAATACAAAATTGAAAAGAATTATTAAAATTCTTAGTTTCACAAATGTAAGGTATTATATTAAAATGAAAAGGAAATTATATTT